TTTTTTTTTTTTTTTGCTTCATTTGAACTATGTGGTTTTAGGACTTTGTTATGCAGGTTTCATTTCATGTGATGTTTTCTTTTGCATCATGGACTTCTTTTGCATCAATGTGGTTCTCTTTTGCATCAATGTGGTTGCATAATGAATTTCATGTAATGTTGTTGCTGGAATTTTATTATCTATGCTTGAATTTTGGTACTTTGTTAAGATCTTTACAAAATGGACTGAAATCTACAATTTCGTGTCAATTTTGGTTCACCAGATTCGTGTCGTGTCTCGGGTTCGCGGGTCAATTCGTGTCGCGTGTCACTTTCGGTTCGTGTCGTGTCGACCCGCAACCTAACCGTGTCGTGTTCGTGTCACGGTTCTCAATTATTTTCGTGTCACGGGTCGTGTCCGGGTCACGTGAAAAAAAAACTGACACGGCACAAACACGACACGAACACGACACGTGACACGAATTGACACCCCTACCTGTTTTTTTAGTCCGATTTGTGATTAGAACAATAAATGGAGAGAGAAAAAAAAAAAAAAAATAGATTCTCCATAAAAGTTCCCTTCAAAAGCTTTCTTCCCCAAATTCAAAATCTTTTGCATTTAAGAGAACCTCCAAAATTGAGACATAAATTTTTTATATGGTCACTAATAAATGGAGAAAAAAAAAAGATTCTTTACGGGAGTTCCCTTTAAAATCTTTCTTCCTCAAATTTAAAGGTCTCATTCATTTTATCAATTCAAATTTTTAGTTTTAAGTTTTTACAGTTAAGAATTTTAAGAAAATATCACATCTCACTTTTTTTACTATAATTAAAAATTCTTAAAAAATGTCACATTTTCAACTCAAATTAAAAACTCAAATCTATAAAAGGAATGAGTCTTAGGGGTTGTTCTTTTGCAACAAAACTCAGAAAAAATTTGAACTCGAGTTACAACATTATTTAAGTTCATGTTCTTTTGTAAAATTTGAGTTTGAACTCGAATTTGGTACTAAACTCGAGTTCAAGTTTCTCGTTGAACTCAAGTTCATAAACTCGAACTCAAGTTAATCAACAATATTTTTTCTATTCTTAAAAATGCCATAACTTTTTCATTTTAATTCTGATGGAGATAATTTTTTTTCTATGCATTCACAACGAAAAGACGAATAAAACTCTACCCATATACCCTATTAAAATATTTATTCACCATTAGATTTTTATTAAAATACTATTTAAATATAAATTTAAGTTTTGATCCACCTAAACACAAATTCAAAAAAATTCTCAATTCAAATCATAACTTAAATGTGCACATCCAAACACAAACTCAAATTACAACTTTAATTTAAATTATAACTCAAACTCAACTTAATTATCACTCAAATCACTCAAACAACAGATCTTTTGCATCGAAGAGAACCTCCAAAATTGAGACAGAAACAGTGCTATCCATTAAAAGTGCCGCATGAGCATGGATGGCTGAAAAGAAGATGCCACATAGGACACCACAGACCAATCAGCTGATTTTGCTCACTTATTTCTGATCACAACAAATCTTCCTATCCATAAAAAATTAAACATTTTTCTTTCATTTTCTTTTCTTGGTTCAAATCTATCATACACAAACAGACAGACAATACTCTCTCTCTCTCTCTCTCTCTCTCTCTCTCTAACTCTCTCCGTCTCTCTTAAAGTGGTGGCAACTGCAAAGATGGCAATGGAGATGGCCATCCGAGCTTCGGCCACCCCAAAACCTCATTTGTCTCCTTCTTTTTCTTCTTCTTCTTCACCATCATCAACACAAAAAGCTTTTCTGAAGCCTCCTCAGTTCAGACCATCCTCCTCTGTTTCTCTCCCTGCGTCCCCCACAATCACTCTCTTGGGACTCTTCACGCATTCCCATGAAGCCAAGGCTCTCACTGTCCCCAAGGACCAGATTGTTTCTTCTATAACTGAAGTAAGTTCATACACACTCAAAATGTGTTAACATATTTGAGTTCCGTTTACAGTCTTTGACTTGCAAAGTCAACAATTGTGCTTCAGAAGAAGCTGGGATATTGGGATTTTCTGTTTTCTCGAAGTATTTTGTGTCTTTTCGGATAAAGCTTTTTTTTCTTGCCTAATTTTATATGTCCCAAAAAATGGGGAAAATAAAAGTCTTTTACTTCCAAAAGCAATGGGTGTACTTCAGAAATGGTGGAAATTGTGTGTTTTTAAGCTGTTTTGTTGAATTTGGTTGACACCCATTTTCTTGAATTGTTCATTTTTTCATTTATTGGTAGTGTATAGAAAGTTAAAAGTCATATCTAAATGATGTTGTGGTTATATCACTGTATTTCAATTACGTTCTTGCTTTTGGGATCAAAGCTTTTACTCAATTTCGAAGGTCCGAAACGAAAGTAGGGGGAAAAAAACCGTTTCTTTACTTTCAAAAGCAACAGATATGCATCGGAAATGCTAGGAATTATTTTTTTGTTGGTTTATTCAATTTGGGATGATGCCCATTTTCTGAAATGTTAAAGCTTTTTTATGTGTTGGTAGGTGGAGAAGACAATTGACCAAGTTCAGCAAGTGGGTTCGAGTGTTTTTGACACTACACGGAGTGTGCTTGAAGTAGTGATAAATGCTTTGAAGCCTGTCATTGATTCAGCATCCCCGATTGCACGGCAGGCCGGAGAGCAGGCGCTGAAGTTAGCTTCTCCAGTTGTTTCTGAGGCTTCAAAGAAAGCCCAAGAGGCCATCCAAAATGCTGGAGTCGATACTGAGCCTGTTGTCTCTGTCGCAAAGGTTCTTTCAGAATCACCATTTTCAAGCTCTTGTCAGTTTTACATTACTATTTTGTGCAGCATTTATTTGGGACAAGGGCTACTCTGTGATTTAAGGTCCACTTTGGTTTGAGATGAAGGGTCATATTGGAATTGGAAGGATATGGTTTAAACTGGGTTTTCAGTGTCTGTCTCAGAATGTTACTAAAGAATGCAGTTCTCATCTCGGGAATTTGAACCGTAGTTGACTTCGTTTTTGTCTAATTTTCTAAATTTAGTTATCTTTCGTTCAACACCGGGACATGATTTGTTATTTTAGGCCTTGCTTTCTAACTAGATCCTTTGTTGATACTAAAAGTGAAATTGAGTCAGATCTTCTCAAGATGTTACTTTAGAGAATCTCCACTGATGTTACAAAGCAAGTGCAGAACCTTGTGTTCTATGCTAGATTAAGAAAGAACAAATATTCATCGTCGGGGACTAGTTGATGCATGAAGCGACATTTGCTTAATGGAATTCTGTAATCAACAAATGACGACTTCATTGATGTTAGATAAAACCTGTTTTTGTTCAGAGTTGTATTGATCACCTGAATGGTGAAAATTTTGTCTCAGACTTTAGGTGACGCAGCACAGCAGTCCACCAAGGTAATTGAAGCGGCCAAGCCAATTGCTTCATCAACATTTGAAACCATTTCTTCTGCGGAACCTCTCACTCTTGCGGGATCTGCTGGAGCATTGTTCCTTGCTTACATCCTTTTTCCTCCTATCTGGTCTGCTATTTCTTTTAACCTCCGAGGTTACCAGGGTAAGTAGAATCTACTTGTTTTCCACTTTTCTGATTAATTGTTACTGGTAAAACTAAAAAGAATCTTCATAAGAACAAAAAACGATCTATTACTGCCAGCTTTAGTAACAAAAATGTTGCCTTCTGTTGTCAATGTAGATAACGATTTGCGCTAAAAGGCTATAGTTTTGATGCACTGCAGGTCAGCTTACTGCTGCGCAATCCCTTGATCTCATTTCTACAAAGAATTACGTGTTGATTGATATCCGAACAGAGAAGGAAAAGGACAAGGCTGGCATTCCTCGCCTTCCTTCTAGTGCGAAAAGCAAACTGATTTCCATTCCGTGAGTAGTTTCACTTCCTCAAACCTCTTACATTTTCACTTTTACTGGGCACATTTCCTTTTTCCCCTGTAATTTATGTGGAATGTTCAAGATTTTCAGCTTGCTTCTCACAACAGTCTCTAACTTTGTGACGCAGGACTTGTAGGAAAGAAAGAGAGTAGAGAGAGAGAGTGGAATAGAAGAGAATTCAGAGAAAGAGAGAAATAGAGGAAGAATTGGAGAAAGAAGAGAAGGGTTTAGAGTTTAAAGAGAAAAGAAGATGAACATTAGAGAGGAGATCTGAATATAAAAGATATAAGTTTGTAGTCTGAATGACAATGACAAACTTTATGAGGAAGTAAATAACGAGTAAGGGAAACTAATAGGAATAACAAAGTAAAATATCAAATAGTTTTGGGAAACTTATTAAATTCTAATAACATATTTGGGAATAAAACTTAATCCTAGTTTCTATTTTTATTCTTGCGCCTCATCATTTTGCGTTGCTCAAGTTTTCCATTATGGTTCTTCAAAGTTTTCCTCAATGTCTTTCAGCTTGGAAGAACTACCGAGCAAGCTTCGAGGCCTTGTAAAGAGCGTGAAGAAACTAGAGGCAGAAATAGCTGCTCTGAAGATTTCTTATCTAAAGAAAGTTAACAAAGGCTCCAACATCATCATCTTGGACTCGTGAGTTCTTCCATCTTTTTTCATTGCATATGTTCCAATTTCTCCCTTACAATGAAAAACCGCTCATCCATTCATAATATTGTGTTACATTGTCCTCTACCCCCTTGACATGTATGCAGGTACTCGGATTCAGCGAAGATAGTTGCAAAAGCACTAACTAGTCTTGGCTTCAATAACAGTTGGGTTGTGGCTGATGGGTTCTCTGGCAGCAGAGGGTGGCTGCAGAGTCGTTTAGGGACGGATTCCTACAACTTTTCCTTTGCGGAGGTTCTTTCTCCATCACGAGTCA